GCACGCCGGAGCCAGCAGGGAGCCATCTAGGTCCTCGGTCATGTTTATGGTGTAGGGCTAAATGCTTTAGAGGTGTAGGGTTGAGGGTGCGCTTGACATCATAAGAGCTTTTGACCAGGAAGAAACCCAAAACCTTTTGCGATTCTGACTTGGCAAGCCCAGCCAAGGCTCTCACGCTGACCCCAAAAAGATTTCAAAAAAAAACAGCAACCGCCCTCTCCCAGAGAACCTAGCAAAGAATTGTTTCCGTGCACTGAAACTACTTCCCCTGTAAGCCCACACGAGGATGTCGAACGCACCATACAGCTGTTCAAAAAGGAGCCAAATGTGGCTCGTACCCGAATGGAAGCTTCCCAAAATGCATAATCCTTCTTGCACAGTCCCCATAACCATATATAACAGGCTAATATGTTGAAAAAATGGGATGTTTCTCAAATTATGATCCTCACTGCTGCCAAAGCGTCGTGCAGCATCAATCGAGGAAAACATCGACCTGTCAGTCACAATTGTCTCGAACACCCATGTCAGGAATCTACAAAGCTGGACCACACATTGTTTCCTCTTTTGTTATGGTCAAGTACTAGTTGCCCCCAATGCATTGCAAAGCGCTCCTGAAGGGCCAGTGCCCGATATTCCTTGGCAATGGAGGAAAGCCTGGACACTATTGCAACCAAAAAGGTTCCTGCAGCATGTCATATTGATTCCCTTTTCTGCTTCTTCCGATTCCAGAAACAATACTCGTTAAGTTTGTTAAATCCTGGGTTGGGCTCAAACGTGATTTTTCAAATTGGCCCCAGTACATTCCTCCAAAATCAGCTATAAAATTGCAAAAAGTGGCCTCTAGTGGGAGCTCCAGCATTGCTCTTCAGAATGGTACCTGGACAGCTAAATCATACAAGTCCCTCTGCAGCTACGCGATAGAAGCCGCATGGTTTGCTATATTACGTACAAGAAATTGGCGCATACGGTTTCCAAAGACTGCCAGTGTCTGATGCTACGGTCCCAAAACCTCATAAACATATAGAACAGAAAACACACCTTTTCAACACATTGCACTATTGAGCGAGAAGACCACAATGCCAAACTGGGAAATTTACGTCCATCCCGACCTACTTCTTCCTGCGCAGGCACACCCAGATTCAGAAGCAGGCGAGATGCTCGCATGGAACATTTAATCTACAAGTCCGCACGCTTCAAACAAAAACTCAATGCCTCAATCATCAACAGACAGCAGAGGTCATCCCTTGCCCCACCTTGCGAAAACAGCTCCGCTTCAAGGCAGCACTGACTTGGCCTCAACTGTGACAACCTACTTCCAAGTCTCTGGGTGTTGCTGTGGGAAGATGGAAAGACGGAAAAGAACAAAAAAAAACTTACATCTATCGTGCAGAAATTTATTTGATCCCCTGTTATCCTGTCAGCCTCTAGATCAGCTTGGGCAGAGCAAGGAAGGCCATTACGCATAATTACTGCCACATGGGGCGAAGTGGCTCTCACTGCTTCGGCATTTGATCATCAAGTGACGGAAGCTCATAGAATACTGATCCCCTTCTGTGAAACTGTTGAAGCACAGTCATAAGTAAAATCAGCTGAACACCACTGGCGCATTTCTCCCCATGGCCGACCCACTGGCTAGCATCCAGGTGCAAATCAAGGCCCTCTGCAGAGTGTTCGAGCAATTTGTATTCGAGTTTGGGCTTGGAGCGGGAAGCTTCGATTGTCGAGATGGAGGTCACCTACATTATACGCACTGTATGATCTGATCTATGCACAATGAATAACACAATCACTATGATGTAAGGACCCCAACAAGTTGAATGATGTGGAGAATATGCCACGTGATATTGCGCGAGGCCAGTCGAAAGTTGGGCCGGACTTCTGTTGATTCATCGCAGCAGTTGTGTAGGGCGGCTCAAACACTCGCACACAGGGGGCACGTTTTGCACATTCAGCAGCTCGGAACCCATGTTGAAGGCCTGCCTATCTATGATCGTCATCCTTTGTAGCGCAGGAACCCAACGTGATATTTGCCCGGATTTGACCACATGTAAGAGTCCACATTCTCAGACGCGAACTAGCTCCTGATGAAGGCTCTACGGGTGCGCAAAGAACCAACCACAACACCTTCGGAACTTGACCGCTGAAGCAGCATTCGTACGCAAACCTACGGAACATCTTGCTGGGCATACGTGAATAGCTCGAAGAGCTTAGGATTTCGACTTGAACCTGCAAATGTGGTGTCCTTCACTGCGCACAACTACACAAAGTTGAAATGATAATGTGATCAAGTTAGACGCCTGGCACGTCACCCACTGTACACCAAGGTTGGTGCCAGATTTGAGCTTTTCCCACTAAGGGTATCGCATACGAATAAGAATAATGCAGAGCAATAGCCAGTGGAACAGCAAGACACATGGATGCATGCTAGGAGCAGTTGCAATTTGCTGGTCATCTGGCGCCAACATCTGCAGCCCATGTGTTCCACACAGGCTGATACTGAAGGTTTGCCCGCCCGACACGCGTCAGTGCCCCTCTATGTACAGCTTCGAAAGGACGCTGAAGTCACCTTGTGGCTCCCGAATGGCAGGAGGCATCTCCACGCCAGAAATCCCATGAGAGCCATAGTGGGTACTGCCATGCATAATAATAGCTATGAGGAAGCTCCGCGCATAACCTAGCTGTAACTTGAACATATTCCTACCTTGAGCAAGAATTCGGACCCCAGAAATGCGATTACAACAGGATAAACCAAGACTCCTAAGAGAGAGAACAATCTCGTAATCAAGGTCCTTTCATAAGCCTGCAATGCCAAACCCGAAGCCCCTCTCAATCCGAGAACATCATACTGTAATCCTCAACCGAAAGTCTTAACCCTGAAGCTCTGAAGCCCTGAACCCTCAAACCATCCATGGGATTCCTGGGCAGCAGTAAAACGTCAGATGCATGCGCGGATGCGGTCAAGGAGATCTTGCTTCTTCCCTGTGTTTGCAATGCCTTGGCCCACTTGGCTCAGGATTTAGAATTTGGGGTCAGGGGTGTGCGCCACAGCTCTTCTCCGCTTTCTCAGGTTCTGCAGCAACGCTTCTTGTTAGGCGGGGTGCAGGGACCTTCTGTCTCATGGTCAAGTCCCGAACATCTGCAAGTTTGGGGTTTAGGGCTTCAGTTGCATAGGACAAACACTCCTCAATTGCTAGCAACTGCCACTGCTCGCGAATGCTGAGATGCAGTTGGGGCATGGCACTTTCACGTCTGGTGTTTTTGGCTCGGTATTTCACAGGTTGGAGCGTCAATGGCATTCTAGCCTGTCAGCCTTTTGACTTTGTGAGATGGGCGCTGTACTCGGAACCTCTTATCCCCCTGCACAAGCTCGCCATTTGAGGAGCCTTAACAAAACGGTCAATTCATACCCCAAGCTTTTATGACTATCCAAGCTTGCTCAACTTCAACAAACTAGAAAGGCTGTCCTAAATGGACCCAGATGCCTTGAGCCTTCAGCCAATCGCGCAAGGCGGGGACCGTCAGCCTCTCTACCTCGCCTTGGAGTGGCACTTCATGGCTCACGTTTGCAGGGATTCATCAACTTCAAGGCTTGCAGGCCCTCTTTCGCATGGCAAGCAAAACCCGAGACCCTCATCCTTGGTTCTTGGCCCGAGCTTATGTCTGAAGTTATGAAACGGTAGGGCAAGTCATGGTTTCAGGATTGGACCTCTAAGCCAACCTAAATGGGTTCTACTTTTGAAGAGTTGGTTCCCTCCAAAACCTCAAGCGCCAAGCCCCAGACAGCACCTCTCTGTTCTTTAGCCATGTGCTGTTTTGCTGAGTCCCGGGCCCGATGTAACCAAAACACGCATTGCCTGGCAATAGCACCACTTATCAGCGTGTTCTTGAGAAACACAAAAGCCTGAAACGAATTCCAACATCATTCTCAACGCGCCAGCTGCTGTTCGCACACTCAGAATAAGCAGAACTGTTTACTGTATTGACTAAGATTGACTAAGACGTACCAAGGGTGAAGGTTGTGAGAAAGAGATCTGGCGTAGCTTCGCGTTGAGGTCCATCGCAATAGCTAGAATGTACCCCATACTGCAGTTTTAAGAAAATCTTAGGTCCAAAAGTATGCAAATTAGGTATGCAAAGACATGATGTGACAAGCGCAAATCAAGACCACAAATGCAACTCCAGATAAAACAGAACATAGTTTGACAGATCCTCCTTTGGATAGCTCAAGTGGGAATTTCTTAAAAGTCGATTCCGCCAACACCACGCGACAAGAGGCTCAGACTTGAAACACCCCCTGCTCCCACTTGCGACCCCTGGCCCCAAATCCACGTGCCTTCAAACGAAAAGTCTTGACATCCATTACACTATGTAAACTCAGTGGTCTGTGCAAGGGCCAAATTCGGGGTTCCATATCTAGGTGGTTCTTCCCACTAAGGAGACGTTGGCAAAAGGATCCTAATGCTGCCAGAGACAGAACAAGAAAAGCTGTCGCTGAGACATCAACATGTCCTTTCTGGCGCGAGGAGAACATGATTGCTGGACTTGGCACTGGAAGGCCAAGCTTTCCAAGGACAGATTACCATGGAGAACTGCGCCAAAAGAGCTGCAGAGGCCTCTGGAGATAAGAAAGTTAATTGCTGGGCGCAAAGTTGCTCATGCTGCTCATAAGTCCTCTGAGGAAACCCTTTCTATTCGACGTGAAGGAGTGTAGTGCTTGTTGCCCTAGACCCACTCATGGCTCCGGTAGAGTGCCGCCTCACAGCTCCAAGGCGACCACTTTCGGCGTCACTGTACAGGGGAATGCTCCCGCTTTCACTTAAACATTTGATTTTGTGGAGCGCTAAGATGAAACTGCTTCGAAGTTAATGCCATAAACTAAAGCATGCAAGGGATCTTGCCATATCCTTTGTGGTAAACTGCAATCTTTATACTATGTCAACCTACGCTCCAAGAAACGCACCCCCTTCTGTGGGACACAGGCTCGTGTGACACGGCGTCACCTACGCCTCCTTGCCCGTAAGCTTCTCGTAGATTTCCCGTACCTGCACACATTGGGGATTTCTTGAAATGCAGGTCTTTTGGCATCACAGTCCTTGCTTTGGAGCTTACCCCTCCTGAAACTAGAAGGGAAGCGCAATTGGTTCCATCCTTGCTTCGGGCAATGTAGGCAAGACTCTGGCCTCACCCTCCCCCAAACAAACACAGAACCCACATAGCCGCTCTCGAAAGGTCAACAAACTCCGGTCAGCAGTCTCCTTTTGAAGGTTTCATGTTATTTCTTCGGGAAGGAACATGGGCTGGGTAAGTTGCGTCTCTGTTTGAAGGCCCGCAGTATCAGAGGATTTTGGTTCAGGTGCAGGGCTCAGATAAGATCATCGATCAGCCCTATAAGCATAATTAGAATCTTGGAGACATGAAAATGACCATAATTTTGGGTACAGATCCCTTGCCAAGCTCTAAGCCCTGGACCCCAACCCCTAAACTCAAGGTTCTGGGATTTGCCTTTGTCGCAGCGTATACGTTATATACTTTCAATAAGGAAGTCCACGCCTGAAAGCCCTTGACTTGAAAACCCCATATTCCAGGAGCTGGCCTTCATGGCGATAACGGTCTGGAGGAGCCCGGTGCCGTTCTGAGAGCCCGGGGAGGACTTCAAGGACACCATGGCCTGACTGAAAGCTTCAGGGTATCTGGGCATGAGGATTGGAGTAACGGTTCAGGCAGGGCCTTTGGGGGGGGTCTTAGGTCTAGGAGTCTAGGACTTAGGATCCTAAGGGATGTTGGCTTCGTTGTAGGGTTTGGGGGGTTTGGTGTTAAGATCTCTAAGTTGGGTTGAAGAATGGGGTTTAAGGCCCGTTCCTGGCACTTTATCTGTTTTTGGCTTACTTGCATGGACTGTGGCCTTGCCCCTCCACAAATCTTTTAGGACAGACCCAAACCAACATGCTAAACCCACGATGAAACCCTCAAGCCCTGAACACCAGCCCTAGATGCCTCGGTGAGCTCCTGGGCCGACTTGGCGCCCAGGCCCTCGAGGTTCTCCTCGATCTCCTTCAGCTGATCCTGGCATATCATGCAGGAGGGGTTAAATGTTGTTGGGCCTGTAGGGCTTTGAGTCTTGGGTTGTTTGAGGTGTCGGGTTTTGGGTTCGGGGTTTACGGCTTCCTGGCCATTTGTGAAATCCGAAGGGCTTCATGCAAGCTGTCTCGTGCAGGAGTCTGTGGGCAAAATGATTGGCCAGCTTGTGCCGTGACTCCTGGCCAAAGTTGTAACATGAACGGGAAAGTCACGAGAAGCTGTTCAGGCAAAAGACGTCGCCTCAGCTTTTGAAGCCTCAGAGTTGTAAGTAGCCCGTGCGATCCTCTGCCTGAGGCAGCTCAATGATTCCTGTGGCCGTTGTCTTATCAAATGAGGAGTGGCTATCATCTCGTGTACATGAAAACAGGTTAGTGTCAATCATTTCTGCGGATACTTTGTTGCTTGCGCACGGCACACTCACATCTTGCAGTGATATTTTTGCCATCGAAAAGCCTAGACATGGACATATACGATTCCTGGATACCCCAATTGCCAGGACTCGGCAAACCGGTTACCTCATGTGCGAAAGATACTCTAGCCGCACCTCCATGTTATCCATGTCGATCTCCCCATCCATCTCCACGACAGTCACGTCGTTGCCGAACCAGTCGTCGTCGTACATCTGCAGCTTTGAGCACATTTCAAGTCGGGAGGTGGGGAAGTAGCTTCGTTGAGATTCCTACCCCAAACCCTGAGCCCTGATCTCTGAAGCAAAGACGAATTGAAGGGCTCTGCTAGGAGCCTTCAGGGTGGCACCTGGCTCGCTTCCTGAAAGGCTGAGGTCCTGCGCGGCAGGCTTCAGGATTCAAGGGTTACGGAACTTAAAGAGGCAAAGGGAATCTGTTGTTCAGAAATCCTTTTGGCGAATGCACGGGCGTCACTGGGATAGCTGAATTTAGGGCTCAAGGGGCTGCTGAAGATTGAGGCCGTTGGGGACATTCAGCGGATGATAAGACGAGTACACTGCAAGCCTGGGAGTTCATGGCATCAAAAGCTTGAAGTTGCGAGTATGCGTATCGGTTCATGGGTGAAGCTTGCTGTTCCCTGATGGTGGACGAGAAAATAATCTAAGCCTTGCTACACGCCTACACCGCGGCGGCCCACCTTCTTGAGGGTGACCATGGGGAACTTGCCACCCTTCTTCTGGATAAGCTTCACCTGCGGAAGTGTCCTAACTCTTGTACAGGGAAACAAAGAAGCAAGAAGCAAGGTGCTGGGCATAAGCATGGGATCATGTTGGCCACTTCCAATTATGAGTCTATTGCTGAGCCGAGTGAAAGGACCAAGAGGGACCCGAATTTCGGGAAAAAATGGCGCAAGGACGACGGTAGGACTGCGTTCGGATTTTATGTTCTAGGCTTGGGCTGCGGCTCGGGGAAGATTTGGCACCTCCAGCCGGGGGCTGGCGCCGGGATGTTTATCAAGCCCCTTGGACCTTTGTCAGCTAGCGCAAAGCTCACACTAGGGTGTACAGCTTACGGCCTCTTTTTTGCAAGTCAATGTATCAAACTTGGTCATTGATAACATGTGATCCTTTTAAACTTCCTTTTAAACTGCCCAACCATTAATATTAGCTGTGTCATGACCTTCAGGAACGGAAGCCCCTTGTCGGAGGGCTCGTAGCGCAAGACCACATCCGCGTTGGCCTCAACTGGACGAAGCTGCACATGTGGTAGAGAAGCGTGCATCAAAGCTTAGATAGCAAGGTCGTTCATCTCAACTGCAACCTTCAGCAGATTGACTCGATGGACTCAGCTCACATGATACGTACCCACAAACGCATTCTTACTTCTTCCTGGGATCCGGTCATCTTGATGGAAACTGGAGGTGCACTCGTAACAAGGAAAGTGCTGTAATTTCATTTATTGATCATCTTCGCCAATCACTGCTCAGAGGGCCTTCTGGGGGTCCACGTACTTGGAGAAATCGGGCAGGCGCTTCTCGATGTCCTCCTTGACCTGGCACAGATTTACACTGCTCAAGGAGTTTGGGCGAGAGGTTTCGGGGCCTTCGGGCATTGGAGTTGGGGTTGAAACCTCAGTTCAGGGACTGTGAGGTTATGTAGTTTCCACGTGACCAGTCCCATGGATGGAAGCAAGAGATCCGCACCATGAGCAGACAGACATGCAACAGGCCATGCGTCCCGAAAGTTCCGAACCCATCTGCAGCAGAATGCCGACACGACCATTTCCGTGCTGGCACGATCCTGATACTTGGATGTGTTCATTTCAGAGTGAGCATCGGCACGCCAGGATACCAGTCAGTGCATCAGCTCACTGGAATGGGCTTTCCGCCTATTGCTTTCCAAGCTCCCTAAGAACCAAACCCAAAGCCGGAAACCCTCAGTCCCTGTGCTATACATACCTTCTCAGATAACCCTTTCTGGGACTTCCATCAACCGGCCCACGCGGGCCCCTAATTGTATCTTGAAATACTCTTGAAGAATGAAATGCGAATTCCTCCCGCTGCAACCCCTTTCAAGGGACCTCCACTCCAAAAACAGGCTCAATTACATGGACACAGGCCTGCTCCTCTGTCCAGCCCCGCTCGGCGACATCGCGCTGCACCTTCCAGGCGAACTTCACGTCGTTGACGATATCCTTGCTGGGTAAATGCAGGGCTCGAGGTCCTTTAAGGGCTTGGGAGGGTACAGTATGCACTATACATATTTGAGGATTGCAAAGGGTTGCTGGTTCTACCGGAATTACATTCCTTACGATAAAGTCTTCCACACTTGCAGGGTCTGGGGTCGAGGGTGCTGGGCATCCAATCAGTCCCAATCACTCCAAAAGCGTGCCATCTTCTCTACTCACTTTGCTAGGAATTCCGGAAGTTGCCCTTTTCTGAAAGGGCTTAGTCTTCAAGATGAACAATGGGATTGGAGATCTTGAAGATGTCCGGTCAGATCAGCTTCTGGCCCTGATGCCAATCCCACAGAATTTTGACTGGCGCTGAGCCGGTCATCCTACTTGCGTTGGTAGGAAGGAAAATTTCCAGCCGAACTCTTAGTGTCCACAGAAAAGAGGGAAAGAAATTTCCGGACAAGTGTGCTTTCACTTAGGTCATTCGGTGAAGATTCATGCTGAACAGAACAGGGCTTTGAAACGTTCCCGTTGAAGGCTTGGCTGTAGGGCTCTGGGAACCCGATCCTTCAAAACAAGATCAGATGTCGTAAACTTGCGCCCGCGGGAGGGGGGGGGGGACGAAAGCTT